ACTGAGGCCAATAGGAGAAGGGGACCAGGAACTAGAGAAAAGGTTAGATCAAAAAGAATTAACCTAGAAGGTAACACACATGCACAGGAAATTAATGTGAGTCAACTCCCTGTATAGCTATCCTTATCTCAACTAGCAAAAACCATTGTTCCTTCCTATTATTGCTTATACTCTCTCCTCAACAAAATTAGAGATAAGGGCAAAATAGTGTCTGCCAGGTATCGAGGGGGTGGGGAGGAGAGGGAGGGGATGGAGTGGGTGGTAAGGGAGGGGGTGGGGGCAGGGGGGGAGAAATGACCCAAGCCTTGTATGCACATATGAATAATAAAACAATAAATAAATAAATAAATAAATAAGAAAGTCAAATAATGAAACTAAAAAAAAAAAAAGAAAAGAAACATGGTGGATGGTAACAACTCTGAGCGTGCTCTGCTTTCTCCAAAAAGTTTTAGCTGGAACAAAAGGAAGGACAGCTATAAGGCGCATTAATGTAGGAGCCCAGAGGCATCTGCCTCCATTAGCAGCTAATAAGAATCTGCTGGATAATCTGCACTGAATGGAGCAAGTTTAACTCATGGGCTTCATGCGGCTGTCGGCTGTCGGGCTGTCGGTCTAGGAGGTGAAGACAGACAACAAACAGTGAATTCGTGAAACACATGGCATGTTAGAAGGAAGCAAATGCTATACAGAAAGGAAGAAGAGGGAGGTGACAGGGACTGAGGCCAGGAAGACCCCAGGGAAGGTGCCCTGTCCCACCTGGATAGCTGTAGAGCATACCATCAGGCAGCTCCACCATTACCCACCCTACCCATAAGGGACACTTTTCACACAGTCCTCTCAGGCACAGTTGATACTTTGTGGGTTCCCTAAAGTGATGAGGAGACCTGAAGATTCTGGGTCCAGCAACTCAGCAGAGCCTTCAGGAAGAAGGGACGTAGAGACATGACAGTAACTGGGTCTCTTGTACAGACATCTGTAGTTCTCACTAGAACCTGAGTGATTAATTACCTCTATCAGTCAGTGACCTCTAGATAACAGAGCCAAGAATATATACTGTATCTCCTTACCTATCTATCTATCTATCTATCTATCCATCCATCATCAATCACCAAACATCTATCTACCTATCTATGTGGAAAGATAGATTTATCTTAAGGAATTGGCTCATGCACTCATGGTTGGCAAGTCTGAAGTCTGTAGGGCCCATGGCAGGTTGGAACTCCAAGAGGAACTGATGCTGTAATTTTCAGACTGAATTGCACTGGGAAAATCTGGTTTTGCTCTTAAGACTTTCAGTCAAGTAGGTGAGTCCCACCTACAGTATTCAGAGCAATCTCTTCTACTTAAAGTCAACTGAGTACAGATATTCACCACATCTATAAACTCATGTTTAACTATCTATGTCTGTTAAACACACACACACACACAGATTCATGTTTAACTAACTTAGCCGTGACAAAACTATCTTCACCTTCAGGGAAATCTTTGCCCACCTCACAGGACTTTACTGTGCTCAGAAATGTGCTCTTCTTTGCTAACTTAAATTTTTTTTTTTTTTTTTGCTTCTGCTGTTCCTGAATAGTTCAAAGTCCATTTGAAATCACAAAGGATTAGCAAACTCTCTAATTCAAAGCTAGCAAGAATTCCTAAGCAGTCAGTTTCAGTATTCAGCAAAAAGTAACATTTTAGTTTCTTGGAAGCTGTTTCTGAAAGATCTTTATTTAAAATCATGCAGGAACACATACAGACATCTACTTTTATTTATTTCTGTTTTGGCAGTTCTGGGGTTTGAACTGAGAGCCTTGAGCTTGCCAGGCAGGTGCTCTACCACATAAGCCATGCCCCCAGCCTGTTTTGCTTTTGTTAATTTTCTAATAGGGTCTCAGTGTTATGTCCCCATGGCCTGCACTGAGATCTATCCAGGCTCCACCCTCCCAAGTAGCTAGGATTAGAGACATCATCCAGCCTTCCAGGATTAGAAAACTAACCCAGAGACTAAGACTAAAAAAGAGAAAGTGGAGCAGAGTTCTTGGCTCCTACACCTGGAAGTCCAGGAGGTCGATGTAGCTGGATGACTGGCTGAAGCCTCTGCTGTCCTTCAGTGCTTCATTTCTGATTCACATCCTCTTAGCTTAGCAGCCCCAATATGAGGAACAGAGGACAAGGTACCTCTCTTTCCCAGCGACTACACACAAATCCAGGCAGGATTCTGGAAGGCATGAGAAGAAAAAATCCCACATTTGACAATCTGGCCAAGTCAAATGAAATGAGGGAGGATGCTGTCCCAAGAACAGACTGGCATGCTAGAAAGGCAGAGGCCACACGGGACAGAAGATTTGGGGACAAAACGGATCCCAAGTGCTGTTTGGCAAACAAACCTGTGCTGTTTGGCAGCTCACCCCACCGAGACATAAAGTCTTTTTCTCCCAAACAAGGGCTCTTTGGTTCCTTGATTTGACCAATACAAAGCAGCAGAAATGAAGGTGTGTGTGCTGGCTCCAAGCCTTGGCCTCCAGAGGCCTGGCACCCATCACTCTCTCCCTCCTGTTCCTTTGCAGGCGAGCATGCCCAGGCCAGCCTGCTGGAGGACAGACACGTGGAGCAGAGCCAAGCAGTTGTTCCAGCTGAGATCCGGGACACGTGCGAGCCCTGCTGAGGCCAGCAAAGCCACTGACACCACAGCCATCCACAGACGCTGAGTAAACTCTGCAAAGCCCAGTTCAGGTCAACACAACTGACCAGGCAGCTGCAGACACACGAACAAAATTAATGTTTCATGTTGGATTTTGTGTTTTGATGTAGCATTGCTGTGGCAATTTGTATCTAGTGTGTCTCCGCCCTGCTCTGCAGCCAGCCTGGGCAATCTTCTTAGCCATTTACTTACATTTTCCATATGACACTGTTGCAAGTTTGTTTGGTTTTTTTGGGGGGGTGTTGTTGTTTCATTTTTGGCAGTACTGGGTTAACTCTAACTCTTGAGCCATACCACAACCCTTTTGCTTTAGTTATTTTAATAGGATCTTGTGTTCTCTGGCTGGCCTGGATCCTGATCCTATTATTTACACCTCCTGCATAGCTGGGATTACAGATGTTAGACACCACACCCGCTTGTTTGTTGAGACGGGGGTCTCACTAACTTTTTATCCGGGGGCCTCCAACCATGAGCCTCCTGATCAGCTTATGTTTGGAATATTACAGTCCTGAGCCATAGGACCTTTTGCTTTGTTTTGTATTCAAGTCCAGCACAGAAGCCAACTAAACCTTTTTTTTTTTTTTGGTGGTGGAACTGGGTTTGATTTAGGATTAGCACTTACAGAGCAAGTGCTCTACTGCTTGAGCCACACCTCCAGTCTATTTTGCTCTGGTTATTTTAGAGATGGGGCCTCAAGAACTGTTTGCCTAGGCTGATCTGGAATCGTGATCCTCCCAATCTCAGCCTCCCAAGTAGCTAGCATTACAGGTGGGAGACACTGTGCCCAGCTCATAGGAACTCTGAGGATGAGGATTACCATCCAACATGTCTGTGAAATAGCGCCTAAATTCTGGAAGTTTTGTTTTTCACATTTCAATCACTAATCCAGCTGAATTTTGAGTATTGTGTAAGGGATTCAGTTGTTCCCAGTATTGCTGAATGAATCTCTAACCTTTCTCTCCCTACCTGTGATGCCAGGTCATAGCAAATTTCTGCCCGTATAGGACCACATCTGACTTTCCCATCTGCCTGTGCTGTGTGCTGCTTTTTGCTGAGTCTGATACAACACTCTACTTCTCTCATCTGCCATTGCTTTATAACAAATTCTGTATTTGCTCTTTCCTTTGAAACTGTGTGTGCTGTCTCAGACTAATTTCACCATTTGCTTTTTAGTCATCTTGGCAAGTTAGTTACACACACACACACACACACTGGTGGTGTCAGAATTGTTTGGAATTACATTACATTAATATGTGATTTAGGAGAAAATTTATGTCATTAAAAGTGGAGTTCATGAACACACACCCTTCATCTACCTTCAAAATATGTCCTACAATATTACATACTCATGTATGAAAATGGAAAAATGAGACCTGCTGAAACTGTTCTAAGAAGCAGGGCGGGGGTGATAAAAGGAAATGATGGAGGGGATGAATTTGACAAAGACAGATTGTAAGGACTTTTGTAAATGTCATAATGTACCTTCAGTACAATAATATGATACTAAAAATTAAAAAAAAATATATCCAGCATCCAATATGTCCCTCTACCTGCACCGTTTGTTCCCCACTTGGTCCAGGACACCAACACAGTCCCCTGGTTGGTTAACCAGAGTAGCCTCAGTAAAAGGCCTTTGAGGGCCTGTGGCTCACATGTGTAATCCCAGCCACTCAGGAGGTGGAGATGAGATGGGAAGACACCCCATCCCTACAAAGTCCGGGTGTGGTGGCGTTCGCCTGCCTGGCATCCCAGCTATGCAGCCCAGGCAAAACCGGAGACTCTGCCTGAAAAATAATTAAAGAAAAAAGGACTGGGAGTGTGGCTTACGTGGTAGAAGGCCTGTCATGCAAGTGCGAGGCCCTGAGTTCAAACCTCAGGACCACCAAACAAACAACAAAGCCCCTTTCTGCCTGCCCTTGACCTTCGTTCTGACCTAAGGTGCACACAGCAGCCAGTGACACATTCCAGGGCGCAGATCAGGTGGTGGCACTTGAGCGTCTACACCCCCTCGTGGCGCCTCATTTTGGGAAACCCTAGTTTAAGTAGGCAAATGGGTTGATGGACGGGGCCCCTCCGGAGGACCCTGGAATAAAGTCAGCGAGTCAGCTGTGGTCCCCACATGGGCAGCCAAATGGTGAACGGTGGCCCTGGGGTGGGGATGCAGATGAACTTGGGTCTGGGCGGAGCGGGAGGCCGGCGCGGGCAGGGCGCGCGCGGGGACGCGCTGCGGGGACGCGCTCTTGGCGGCGGCGGCGCGCAGGGCCGCCGTGGCGCTTCCGGTGGCGGCGGAGGCGGCGCGAGCGGCACCGGCACCGGGACGGCGCGGGCGGCGGCGGGGACGCGGTGAGTGGCGGACGGCGGGGCGGGCGCGGGGACCCCGGGCGCGCGTCCGGAACCTCCTGGGGCCGGGGATGCTTCGGCAGGGTCCCTGCGCCCTGGGGATCCTGCGATCCCGCTGCCTGACAGCTCTCCATCTGCAGCATCCCGGGGCCCCGGTGACTCCCATGTCCCCCGGGAGGAGTGGGTCGCCCCAGCATGAGGGGGTTTGTGCGTCCACGCCTCTGCGCGCCCTGCCATGCTGTCCCCAGCGACCGTGTGACGAAACTCGAGGCGGGGACGCACCCAAGATGGCTGCCACGAGGACTGGCTACCACGAGGATGGGCGCGAGCAAGTGCCAGGTGACTGGGTGGCTCTGACCTCCGCATCCTTGGCTTTGGGCCTCTCCTCCTGGGTAGAGCAGGACTCTGAGGTCAGCGAGGAGACACCTGGCCTCTCCATGCAATAGGGAACAGAGCTGCTAGTGGGGGACTCTTGGAATTGTCGTGGTCCCCATATGTCACAGATCTCTAACCTTCCCAGAATGGCTGTGACCACGATATCTACTAAGTGTGGGCCAGGTGAGTTGGAGCCCTTTACTTTACATTCTTCCAGCCCTGCAAGGTACTTGCTGTTGTCTGTATAATCCAGATGACAAAAACCGGTGCTCAGAGAGGTTGAGTGATCTGGCCAAGGACACACAGCTGGTCATGAGAAGGCAAGGCCATCTGAGTATCAGCTTAAATGCTGCCTCCAAGATGGGTTCCCTTGCCCCCTCCCTCATGCACACCTCTGCTGTATTATACCTGTGTCCTTTTTTTTTCTTCAGTAACATTTATCACTGGTTGAAATAAACTTTAGTTGTTTTATTCTTTCCACACAAACAGGATCTATGTTTATTTTAACACACATACCGAGCATGGCTTCCACCATGCAGGCCCTCAACATGTGTTTGTTGACTGACTGTATATAGAGACTAGCTCTGCTTGACTGAGTTTGGGCACTTACCCAGGGCATGGGCAGGTGCCCTCTAAGCACTGAAGCGCTTCTCTTCGGCCTTCACCACAGTTCTAATCCCTGTCTGCTTCACCTTCTAGATTTTGCCTTGGACACCTCTGGACTTTCTCTTCTCCATCCATCCCTCTTTTACTCAGCTGCTTCCACATTGCAGGCTATGTGAAGGTGCTGCTGGTGGGAGGTGGGGGGCATGCAGGTAAATAAGGAGGCTTGGTTCCCCTGACAGTGCTGGCTCAGACTTGATAATTGGAGAGAGACCCATCTAGGACAAGTGGCAGCTGCACCAAGAAGTTCTGGGACTCCACCAGGTCCTTTCTCTCCCCAGGATTACAGGTGCCCCACTTGCAAAACTGATGGTGTCTACATAGAATTTGTTAGTTCTTAGTTCTGACATAAACTGCTCTAAGTGTGTGTTCAAGTGTTAGATGGAGGGTGCGAGCTTTCAGTCCAGAGGGATGCTTGGGAAAGGACAGTACCTGTGGGTGCATTTGTCAGAGGAACCTGCCTAGCAAAGGACAGCTATGATTCGGGACCTGCAAAGCAGTGACAGCGTACTTCCTTTTCTGCACAACCCCTTGGGGTGGGCATAGGAAGATGCTGAGTCCTGCAAAGGAAGCAGAGAGGACAATCGGGAATCGATCCTTACAGCAGGCTGCCACCCAACTCTATTGCTCTCCAATGCCTTTGAAAGTGGAAAGTCATTGTTACAATTATATTATATATATTATGTTTATGTATCAAATATTAAGCATATGTCAAACCTATACATAACTGCACAAAATTTGGGAGTTTTTTTGGGGGGGGAGTGGGGTACTGGAGCTTGAACTCAGGGCTTTCATCTTGAGCCACTCCACCAGCCCTATTTTTGTGAAGGGTGTTTTTCAAGATAGGGTCTCTCAGAACTATTTGCCCAGGTTGGCTTCAAACCTCGATCCTCCTAATCTCTGCCTCCTGAGTAGAGGAGCAGCACCTGGCTTGGTTTTTTATTTTTTAAATCAAAACCACTAATAGCCTTTTTCCCCCCAATCACTGAGTGCTAAACTAATAGTCTTTATTACAACCATAAAAGTCAAATTTTAACCAGTTGCCCACCCATATATAATCTCTTCTCTCTTTTTTCTTTTTGGCAGTACCCAGGTTTGAACTCAAGCTTGCTAGGCAGGTGCTCTACTGCTTAAGGCACACCTCCCAGCCCATTTTGCTTGGGTTATTCTGGAGGTAGGGTCTCACTTTTTGCCCAGGCCAGCCTGGACCAAGATTCTCCTATTTTAAGCCTTCTGCTATAGCTGAGACGACAGGTATGTGCCACAATTCCCAGATTTTTCTGTCAAGATGAGGTCAACCATGATCCTCCATTAGGTAGGACTACAGCCTTCCAAGTAACTAGGATTACAGGCATGAGCCAGCACCTGGCCTATATATACTCTTGTGACAAGGATTTAACTAATATTTAATTAGATATCACATGATACCAGTATTTTTCCAAGTAACATAGAATTACACAAGGTATCTCTGGAAAATTTTCTAAAACCATGTACATTATTTTCCTATGTCAAATATATTTTAAAACACAAGCATATTCTGCTTATAGAGAAACTAGACATTTCAACTACACAGTAACAAACATCAAGTAATATTGTAACAATTTCTACTGTGCATTAAGATGCTGTCCACTAGGATTGGCGGAGTGGCTCAAGGTGGTCACTTGCGCCTGCTTAGCAAGTGTGAGGCCCTGAGTTCAAACCCTGATGCTGCCAAAAAAAAAAAAAAGAGAGAGAGAAACTGCCCATTGAATGGAAAGTCACAATAAGTCTATCACACAGACTACAACTGCATACACAACTTCTATGGTCTACAAATGTTGCCTCCTTATGTAAATTTAACTGGAAATGTATGCAAAAAGGCTCAAGTCATCAGGTAATTGATACTTACTGAGCATTGCTTATAAAAACTAAGGCTCTGAATTCCATAAGGGATGGTGAGATAAAAAAGTCCAGTCTCCATGCAGGAAGGAGCTCTCTGCTCAATACAGAGCCGGGCTTTGCAGACCCATCAGGCTTTCCTCGTGCTGTCTTCAAACACAGGATTTTCAAAACAGTCACTTCTGGCTCACCTGCCCCTTATCCATCTCAGTGACAGGGTGTGTGTTCACTGCAGATTCTGCCTGCCTAGATCAGCCTCCTTGCTTTAGGCCCCCGCCCCCAGCTCCATGTCCTAGGTTCAGACTCGGTAGATCAGTGGCAGGATCACCAGCTTGTGGTCAGGTTGAGCCCCAGGAAATGTGCTGGCATTCTCTCTCTTGTTGAACTTTGTACACAAAGTTCAGTTATTAAGTGTTTAGTTTACTAGTGTTATTTGTAAATAATTTCATGAATATTGGTATATATAATCTGTGAGTTGACTTTTTTAAATGGGTGGTAAGTCATCTGACTAAGTGTGTCCAAAATTTCATAGTTTGGTTAGTAGTGTATAATTTTTACAGGCTGATACCATTATCTCAAGGAGAAATAGATTTTTTTTAATGGGTAAGAACTTTACCTGTCCTAAGTTATTGCTTAAACAACTCTTACTCAAAGTTGACCTTGAAGGCTAGGTATGGTGCTGCACACCTATAATCCCAGCTACTTAGGAGGCAAAGATCAGAAGCATCACAGTTCCGGGCCAGTCTGGGCAAAAGGTTAGCAAGACCCCATTGCAACCAACAAGCTGGGCATGGTGGCACATGCTTGTCATCCCAGCTAGTGGGAGGCATAGGTAGAAAGATTGAGATCCAAAACCAAAAAACATCAGACCCTATCTGAAAAATAATCTAAAAAGCAAAAAGGGCTAGATTTGTGGCTCAAGCAGTAGAGCACCTGCCTACAAGGACAAGGCCCTGAGTTCAAATCCTAATACTGCCAAAAAAAAAAAAATAAAGTTGATCTCGAGGACTGGAATGTGAACATAAGTTGCATTGTTGCCTTCCCTGGTGGCTGTTCTACAGTTAATGGAGGGTGAGATCTGCATGGCAGACAGGCAGAAGAGTAGTTTTCCTTGTCCCCCTGATTCTAGACAGGGCCCATGTGTCCATATAGCTCCGTCCCTGACCAGGGAAGACTGACCACAAATCCATTGTCAAGTGGAAATACCCTTTAAATGAACCCAGTTCTCTGTGCAACATTCAGCTTCCTATCTGTGGTTCAATCCCTATGTGAACATGCCCATCAACAAGGAATGCTGGGGCCTGTGCCTGACCAAAAGAAAACAGAAATTAGTGACTTGTTTTGCCTGCTGCATTGCTCTTTGCAGACACACCACCTCTGACTTCCCAAGGGTCAGACAGAACCACCACTTGCAGGCCATGTCATCTGAACTTGGAACTTAATTTCTCTGAGTGACTCCACAAAACGGGAAGTATCTTGAGGGCTTATGATGAGGATTTATATTCAATGATGCATGGAAAGCCCAGTGTTTGGAATCTTATAGGTCCTCAGTCAGGCCCCAAGACGGAGGACAGCAAGGACTCCAATACCTGGCCCAGCTGAGCAAGCCGAGCAATGACACCTTTTCTCCCCACCCCGCAGTGCAAGGGACAGAACCCAGAGCCGTGCACACGCTACACCCAGCACTCTACCACTGAGCCATGTGCCCAGCCGGAGACTTTCTGAACTCCTTCAAAATACAGCAGTTTTAACCAACAACAAGCTTCCAGATTAATAACATACTTATCATTGTTAATTTTGAGCTGAGATTAAAGGCCTGCATTACTAATTCTGTGATAATTTGCTTTCCGTGGAATTTCAAAAAATTCTTTTTCCCCAGTACTTAAGCATTGTCTTAAGTACAGCTTATCTTGGAGAAGAGTTCTTTTTCTCGAACATTTCTCATCACCTTTGGGAAGCGAGAAAGCCAGCATCCCCATCTCTCATCCATGAGCAACTGTATCCCTGGGCAAGATTACAGTCAGGGAAGGCAGAAGCTCCCACAACAAGAACTGGCTTGCTTCTGGTGATCAGGCCTTAAAGCCCTC